CTGGGAATTGAAGTCCATAAGTATAAAAGGCCATAGGTCCTCACCCCTAGTCTAAGTAGACAGCAGCTTCATTTGGAATGCCAGAAACTTCTCTACTAATTTCTAGGAAGTGGCATACTGGAGGGAAACTTCCTAGCAGAGCCAGCTGATCTTGGAGGCCCAGTAATTGAGGATGGGAGGTGTAGACACCTGATCATGCAGGATTCTATAGTATCTCTTGGACCAACAAGCTCTGTGGATGACTGGCACTGGACCCTTAGACAGTAGAGAGTTTCTACAATTCACAGTGAGTTGGTGTGGTACTGGTTAACTCCTCCTGGAGAGAACTTGGTGATGAGATAAAAGATTGTGTTGTACACTATGGAAAACCATATCCCAGCTCGGCGTCAACTATCATTGAGGTCTCATGTATCCTTGGATGGTGAATTGCTAACACGCTGGTTAATCATGTTGGGCTTTTGAAGTAACACAAAGGAAAAAGGAAAAAAAAGGTTGTGAACTATCTTGATTTAGGGAATACTCATTAGAACCAAGGAGCAAGAAGCATCATTGGAAGCCTAAGCTGTAGAAAAAAATAACCTAAATAAGCTTTAACCATGAACATAGGTTGCTATTGATGTCTTGGAACCCACAGCTTGGGTATTAAGGAAAGGACTACCACTGTCATTCACTTGAGCTGAAATGTGCTGAAATGAGCTGATGTTGCAGCTGAAACAGGCACTTTTCTTCTGTGGTTCCCCCCTCCCCATCAAATTTTAGCTCATAAAATTTTCAAGATTTGTTAAGACTTTTTTTAAAAAAACCCCCTCACATTAATGGTGCATTAGCTGAAGGTGGGGAGAGAGATGGGGTTGGTACTTGGCCATCTGTTGGACTTTGTTCCTTAATTGAACATTTAATTTTCTCTTTTAATATCACCCTAATCTGTCTCTCTCACATACACTGAACATGTTATAAAGAATCCTGGCATTGCTGGATAAATACTGTATAAATAATATAGTTTCCTTGTGTTTCCTCCACAAAGGTGACAGACTAAATGAAGCAATTGGCTTCTGCAACTGAGTTGAATTTTGCATTGTTTTGCTAGTTTGTTTACAGTTTCTTGAAACCAACCAGGTTAATACCATTTCACATACTGGTGAAAAGCTTGAGTGGGCAAATATCCAACTAAGGAAGTCCACTGAGGGAGTCAAGGCACTGGCTGGCAATAAAAGGGGAAAATTCCTATTTATTTTCTTCCTTAAGAGTCTAGTGTAGCGGTTAAGGCACCAGGCTAGAAATCAGGAGACTGTGAGTTTTAGTCCCACCTTAGGCACCAAACCAACAGGCTGATCTTGGGCCAGTCACTCACTCTCAGCCCTGGAAAGGAGATACTGGCAAAATCAAATGGCACTTCCAAAAAAAAACCCAACCCTGCTAAGAAAACTGCAGACACATCCTGGCAGTCAGCAGGAGTAAAACACTGACTCTTTACCCACCACTCTCATCTATCTGTTTATCCATTATTTTATTGTAGCTATATAGGCAGTCATGTCTATGGATGGTGCATATGAAGATGGAGAGGAATTTTTTCCTCTGTAGGAAAAAAACGGACAAACCACAGGCTGAATCTTATGGAACTTTGTGAAGAGGCCTGTTTGTATGTTTCCTTTAACTCAGAGATCTCCAATTGTGGCAACTTTAAGACTTGTGGACTTCAACTCCTAGAATTCCTCAGCCAGCATAGTTTGCTGAGGAATTCTGGGAGTTGAAGTCCGCAAGTCTTAAAGTTGCCAAGTTTGGGGACCCCTGCCTTAACTCATCTTTGCAGAACCTGGGGAGTTGGGGGGGTTAATAAAAGTCAAAATTACAGATGTGACCACATGTTCAAAGTCCTGAGTCATTGGCAAGTTAAAAAACAGGCTTTGATCATGTAGTTGCACCCATATTGTTGTCTTTTTTGAATTAGACACACCTGATATCACATTTATAAGACAAGCAGATTCTGATTAACTCCAATTTCCCAGCCAGCTATGCAGTCATTTGTCACACCAACTTAACAAGCTTATTGTTCAGAATGCAGATATTTTATCAAATGTCAAACTGAAATCTACAGCTACCCCACAATTTATTAAGAAAGTTATCTGATCAAATAATAAGATAAGATTGCTCTGGCAAAACATGTTTTTGAACAATCTCTGCTGACATCCGGTAATTACCACATTATTTTCAAGGTAGTTACAGATTGATCTCTTTATGACCTGTTCTAGGATCATGTGGATTAGCAGCTGACTTTTATAAATTAATACTTTTTGTTGTTGTACATTATCTTATATTGTGTCCATATGAATGGGAGAAAAATAGCCATATAGATAGGAAAGAAAATTTATCTAACTGTGCCCTTGAATTATTATATGCGTTACTTCTTTGGAAGGGGAATGGTATATTTTTTTTAAAATATAGTTTAGTAGTTTTTACAATTAAAACCAACCAACAATACATACACAAATAAACAAAAAAAGAAAAGAAGAAAAGAAAGAAAAGAGGGAAAAATTTAGAGAAAAGAAAGAAAAGGGAAAGAGGAAGAAAAAAGGAAAAAGAAAGATTAAAAGTGTCCATATGAATGGGAGAAAAATAGCCATACAGTTAGGAAAGACAATTTATCTAACTGTGCCTTGAATTATTATATGTGTTACTTCTTTGGAAGGGGAATGATATCTTTTAATGGGATAGTGCTTAACCAAACATTAGTTTTTGGTAGGGCTGCTTACTATTATATAAGATAGGGGTGGGGAACTATGGCCCTTTTACGGTCTGTGAACTTCAACTCCCAGAATTCCTAAGCAAGTTTCCCACCCCTGATCTACACCCCTGCAAACTACAATAGAATGGCAAACATAGTCTGCTTTTTTGGTTATTATATTTTAGGCTCCCCCCCAATTGTAACAAGTTTTTAATTTTTTTTGTTAAAGATAAGAAAACTACCATGAGGGGCTTCCTGATGGAAAAATTTTAACCCCTGTAACTACCAATCTGCATAGGTAATGCTTAAAAATGTTGACCATCATGGGCAAGTATCATCTGGTAGGCTACAGACTGATCACCTGTGCTATTGTTTTTGATATTTGACATCTGTTATCTGTTTTGTGTAGAAGAAAGAAGTACATATAAGACTATAAACATGTCACATTGTCTCTGGATTCAATTGTTATGGGAATGTAAGGTCAGGAGTTAATTATAGTAAGACAACACAAGGTCATGCGTTCTAGTAGTGAATAGTTACACCTAATTTAGGAATTTGCAGCATTTGCTATAATCTGTCTCTGAAAACTTAATTTTATGAAGTATTGAGATAAAGGCTGAATTACTATAAACAGCGGAATTTTAATAAGGAAAACATGATTGAATTGTACACAGAAGCAGTGTATTTTTGATTTAAATAAAATCATTTTTTTAACCATCAGATGAATTCCACTTCATTTTAAATGTGATGCCTCTCACTGATGAGGCAGCATCCTACTTGAAAATTAGGAAGGCATCTAACCCAGTGTTCTATTTTCAAAAAAGACTGAGCAAAGATTTGCAGGAAGCTCTAAAGCAGTGACAAGAGAACAATGGCCCTTTCTTGATACCTCCTCAATTCATAAATCCCTTTGGTAGTCATTGATATGGAGCCTTTGCAAAAAGAGATGTTGTATATCAGTTAAAGCTAACAGGAGTTGTCTGTGTATGGAAGGCACATAGTAGGTCTCCATAAGACAAACCCCTCCTTTCTCCATTTAGTCCTCCATCCTTTCCCTCTCATTTCAAGATCCAGCATGTATTTTATTTTTATTTATGTTAATTCCCTGTAATTTCCCCATTGGAGACATTAGAGAAGAAGAGCTGCATTAATCTATGATAGTCAAAAAATCAGAAACTTGGTCACACCTTTTGGGGCAAACATAAATAAGCTTCCATGAGCTTATTTTGTAAGTCAGAAAAAGAGCTACTAGACACTGATTTGGATCTGCAATTTCCTGTAATTCATTATCAGAATTATGCAGGAATGTTATATGCTAATTCTTAGAATCAAGAGAGAAAGAAAATAAAGGCCCAAATATTTTCAGTGCATATATACAGTATACTGCTGTCTTAGCCACAGGAATGATGCTTAAATCATCGTGCATAAATCATTTCTGATTTACTGTATGTTATTCAAAGAAAATTAAACATAAATGGGTTTGATTAAAAAGCTGTATGTCCACAAAATCCATTTGTTTGTGTATGAGATAATCAACACTAATTATTTTTTCTTTAAAAAACCTCTATAAACAATAAAGGCTACCTACACGTAGCATTTTCATTTCTTTTTATAAAAACCGTACAAAAGGAGACATCAGACAAAGTAGACTAAGCACTATAAAAATCTATCTGGGAAACATACGTATTCATGAACTGAATAGGTAAGATTCCTAAAATTCTAAAGTATAAGAAATATTTTAAAAATTGAAGTTGTTTTTCCACTAAAATAGCAAAATTCAGAAAGAGATCTCCCTGCATGCAAAGTACCACCTGAAAAAGGAGTTCTTTTTTTACATTAAAAATGATGGGCTCACTCCACCAGGAAGTTTTCTGCAAGACTCACCAAAATGAAGAGAAAAGACAGAATAGTGCAGCCATGCTGTTGTGCAACTCTAGCTTCTACCTGTTATAATTGGGCTTATGCAGTAGATCTTCTAGGGGATTATGCATTTATCTTTGATTAGAGAAATTATTTTAATGCCAACAAGACACAGTCTTGTAAATTCTGTGTTCACCAGTTCTTTCTGGCATGAAGATCACTGATTGATCACACACTGTGCAAAAAATATAAAGTACATTGTGTATAGTTCGAAAATATATAGAAACAGCTTTCCTGTACAAAGCTCTAAGTAATTAACAGCTCTTACCCACCCAATCCAAGTACTGAAATTGCTAAGAAATTGTTATCTCAGTGATGAGAAGCAATAGCATATACTCAGAAGATGAACTGAAGCCTCCTAGTTTGGTTCCTGTTGAGTGCAATAGAGATCTCCACATAATATTGTCAATGTTACTCATCAGTGCCTCCTAAGCCCTGGTTGAAGTTACTAAGGAACTGAAATTCTGGACAAACTCTAGCAGCATAAAAAGAGGACTCCATAGAAAATATTAACTAAAAAATTGAATGTCTTTAAATTGGTGGAGGTCCATTAATATATCGTAGCATTGGGTAGAAAGAACGAGCAAAGTTGTTGGTTTGAGTACAGCTGTAGTCTTCTTCTGAGACGGGGATCAAGGAGGCCAAAAACAACAAGAGAAGGAGGAACAATTGTAAAGGTAATGCTGCTCGAAGGACACGACAGAAGAAAGCATGCTTCTTGGGTGCAAACGAATTGGTCTCTTCCTTCTCCCCCATCCTGCAAACAGAGGACAACTTATAAATAGGGCAAGCCACTTGTACATAAACAAAGAGCAAACCTCTCTCTCTTCTGGCACTAATGATGTTACCTAGTTGGCAATGTCTGCAAGAAAATAATCAAGTTCAGAGACCACCAAGGAACCGCACAATTTACAAACTCTCTTGTACCAAGTGAGATTTTGATTCCTTCTAGCCCTATATTGCCTGTTTGACTGGCACCACCTCTTCAAGCTTGGATACCAAATGCCATGGTCAAAAACAATTGCTGGACTGAATTCTTGCAAAAAATATTGTTAAGACTTGCTTCAGCATGAAATATTTTTGTGGTCTGAACTATTAAGACTTGTAATTCTACACCAAATCCCATGGTTTTTAATATGAAGTGTCATAAATATTTCACAAGTCATGCATTGTGAAAACTATGAATACTTAAAGACATTAGCAACCAACCATGCAGCTAGTATCTAATAATTGAACTCAACCTGACATTGAGATCATGCAATTACCATGCTTTGGACCATGGAGAAGAAGAGAAGACCGACTCTTTCACTCCCTTCTATGTTTCTGACACAATTCAAACTTGAATGAATTTCTTTTTTAAGGAAATGCAAATATTCATTCATCCATTGGGGACTTTGGGATTTTGGGGGAGGACTGTGGCATAAAGGATTACATCACCTCTCCTTCCTTCTACATGATCCTAAGTTGTTTAGCATTTCCTACAGCTAAGCAAATCTGCATTCAAATAATCAATATTTCTTATTGAACTTTAAATCTATTGGAATTTTGATACTAATTTTTAGTTCACAGAAGAAACTGTTTATTGAAAAGCATTACCTAACATTGCTGCTGGTATTACTCTGCAGGATCTTCTTTTCATCAACCTGTAGATATTTAAAATGTGATTACTACTGCTAGTCATAAAAAAATAAAACCCCAAAGCAATAGCATGTACAAAAGGCAAACACGTTTAAATTGCATATAAATACAGTCAGCCTAGGAGTATTTTGGCTGTACAATGCATCCCTTCTGCCATGGTCTCTATACTGCCAGTTGTCATGGGGTCTCAGGAATACACTAGTATAAATAAAGTATCATTTAACATGTACAATGGAAATTACTTGGCCCAATGCATAGTGTGTGGGCAAAACCATGAGAGTCAATACCTGAAAGCATATACAGGTAGTCCTTGACTTATAACCACAATTGAATCCAACATTTCCAAAGCTAAGCAAGACATTTGTTGAGTGTATTTTGCCCCATTTTCTTTTTTACCTTCTTTGCCACAGTTGTTGGCAAGAATCATTGCATTGTTAAGTAAGTAACCCGCTTGTTAAGTGAAATCTTGCTTCCCCGTTGATTTGGCTTATCAAATCGCAAAAGGTGATCATAAGACCCTCGGATACTGCAACTGTGATAAGTACATGCCAGTTGCAAAGCATCTGAATTTTGATCATGTGACCATGGGGATGCTGCAACGGCTGTGTGAATAACCATCACACTTTTTTCAGTGCCGCTGTAACTTTGAATTGTCACTAAATGAATGGTTGTAAGTCAAGGACTACCTACCAAGATTGAATGATGACAGAGAAAAAGAAACAAATTAAAAGGGAAAAAACTTTTACAAAATAACCATCAAACAACTTGCCTTATTTTTAGAAATGGGAGATTTCTCTGATAATTGATGATAGCTTCCAGAATCCAATTCTTCCCCATTCACCTGAAATGTACTTACATCCTAGAGGAACAAACAAGAAGAAAGCTTTACCTCTGTTATTTCTCCAAAATTAGAGTTGGAGTAATCAGATTCGGAACATGCAGTCCAGCCTACCTGTCTTCCTTGTGAGGCCTTTAAGTCACATGAAACTCCTTCAAGAAGCTGTTTAAGCTTCTTCCCAATAACATGGACCTTCTCATTAGCTTCAATATATTTTTCTCCGTCAGGTTTGACAAGCAAGTATTCAGCAATTTCCTGTAGATTATTTACTTGGAGCTGCCGTTCCAGAAGCTCTTTTTCCAGTTGCTTAAAATATATAAGAGGAAACATTAACAACCATAGGAAGTTGCCTCCTAGAGAATCATATCACTAGTTCATCCACTCACTTTACTCTGGCTGATTGTAGCATTTGCGAGAGAGTCTTGGATTAGAGGTGCAGCTGAATATCTGGACTTTATACATGCAAACAATATAACAATACTTTCCAATGAATCCTGCTTCATGGGAATTAAACATATATTAGGACACCAAACAGGACTCCAATGCCCCAAAGCCAAAACTAGAAGCTTGGCATTCCAACATCCACTCAAATACATGTCAATCAATCATGCTTGGATCTCTACACTTGCAATAGGCCATGGGTTGCAATAACCATGGTTGGTTGGACCCCTTGTTTATATATAATTCTAAATGAAATTTATGGAACAGATTTATGAGCTCTGTAGTGGGGAGTAGAGCAAGTCCCATTGTTCAAAAGGAGGCCCAATGCATAATGCTGAAGATGCAATAATTTGTCTCTAGATGCTCCAGATTTTTTTTCTTTCTAAATTTACCATTAATTCCTTTCGACTTTCCTGTATTCTGTGAGGATCAGCATTTGGCTCCTTAACTTGTGCTTGGTGTCTCCGTGTCTCTGCAGCAGCCAGCCACAGCAGCAGTTTCTGATTCTGTTCATGAAAATCCTGCAGAAACAAGTGCTCATTTTTCAGAAAATAATCATATAAAAACACATTAAGTAACCTCAAGATGTAACTTTGTGGCAGCTGATTCATTAAATCTACAAGTACTCCTCGACTTACAACCGGGACTGGAATTTTCATCATTGAACAATGCGGCTGTAAAATCCAACTGTACTGCTTAGCAGTGGCAATTCCTGCAGTTCCAATTGCCATCTTTAACCAAATCCCACGTTGTTGGGTGATATTAGATAAGGCAACTTCCTGCTAACTTCCTACAGCCAAAGTCATGAGGACAGGAAATTGCAAGACTTAGTTAAATAGCTAATGCTGGATGGGGGGGGGGGGGACAAAGCGAGGAGGTGTGCAGCGAAGGTGCAGTGTGGGTTGGGGAGGGTGTGCAATAGTGTACAAGAAGCATGGTGAGGGTTGAGGAGGGTGCAAATGTGCAGGGGAAATGTAATGTGAGTTTGGGAGCATGTGATATGAGGGGATGCATGGAAGGCACAGTTTGGATGCACAAGAAACACAGGACTGTGGGAGAGAATTATCCCAGTGATTGGTGATTTTCCCTGCTGGCTTCCCCACTGACTTTCTGGGGAAGCTGTCAGGAAATGTTGCAAATGGTGCTAATGTGATAGATGGGTGCTGCAACTGACTTTAAGTGTGAATTGGTTGCTAAGTGCCTAGATTGCAATCATGTGACTATGGGGGAATGGTTTGCTGGGACGGACAGAATTCTCAAGGACTGGCTGTTACCACTATTTGTTCACCATCATTTTAAATGGTCACTGAGTACACATTGAGGCTGCCTGTACATAGGCATTTGCTAACCTATTAATTTTAACTTGTTAAGAATAAGGTACAAACATAATGTGCTATTGTGCTATTTACCTGGCAATGAATCAGAGCTTTCTGTAAATTCTTCTTCCAGTTTTCCAGTAAAATATTCGCCTTTTCCCATCGTAAATTTACCCGTCGAAGTCTGTTCTGAAGCTCCTTGTATCCAGTGCTATCTGTTTGCTTGAAATCTTTGCTTGTCAGGTTAACTGACAGTACAAGGGCCTTGTAGTTATTATAGGCTTTAAGCATATCCTGATAAGGGGGAAAAAAAACAAATTTGAATTCTTTGTGAAAAAAAAATGATTTTAAGCAGCAGCACCAAAATAAGGTTGGAAAAATTTCCTTCTATTTATTAGGTGCGTATACTTTTACTGCAGGAACTCAGTGTAATGTTCATAGGGCTGCCTCCTCCTCCTCCACTTTTTCCACCATAGCAATCCTGCAATGGAGGCTGGGCTGAGAGGTGATTGGCCTGGACACCTAGTGACTTTCCAACAACTAAGATTGGACTCTGATGGACTCAGACCACCACCTTAAACCACTGTAGAAATTAGCACCTACCCCTCTCCTAGAAGAATGAAATATTTTAGAAAATATTAAAAAGGCATTCCCTAAAGGAGGAATGGAGAAACATGCTCTTGGAGACAGGAAGCAGCCCCCACCTTGTGTAATAGCTATGAGCAGATGCCAGCACTTAAGAGATAAAGAGCTTATTGAGAACTAGATAGCTCTATTCATAAGCAAATACCCTCACTCAGGATCCAGCACAGGGAAAAGCCATTAAGCCATAATACGAATTGTCCAACACCCTTTTAGAACACAAGCTCCTTCACTGCATCATCTCAGAGCAGACCAAACTTCAAACAAACTTAGCTCAAACAAACACCTAGGATTTGTACTTTGGCTATAGGTCCAGCTATGACCCCTACATAACCCTATATGGCCCATGGGACTCTGACAACAGCCAATAGAATACATGTTCTTGCAGAGGAACAGGAAACTCAAGTGCAAAGCCCAAGAGAAGATATAAAAAACCCTCACTCTCAACTCCATGTGATCAGCTGCCCCAAACCATATGATTGGTGGTTCTGTCCATCATTAAACCCTCTTTCCAATCAGCCTCCAGCCTCCATTTTGTCTCCAGTGCCTTTCTCCCAGCTTGGAACTGAACCAGATGGGTATTTCTTCCCACACCACACTGGCTCTCAGTGTGTTCTGCAAATTGATAATTTGTATTCTACAGCGTATTCTACAAATTGGAAAGGAAAGCTGATAAACTACATTCAAACCAGTGAAGTTGATTTTATTTTTGTTAGTACAGGACATCCTGATAATTGTAAAGTCCTGTGTTTAGTCAAAAGTACAAGCGCTTTCCAAACACAACATGTGAAATTTGGATCCACTCATTTCACTGGGATCTATTGCTATACTATGAGAGCTTTTTAATGACTGAACTTCAGGATGTCCTTTTTGTATCAAGTGGTTTTCAGGTGGACTTCTGACCCAAGAGTCCTACAGCATGGTACAGAATGGAGAAAATGCAATATCCAGAGACAAAGACCGCACAAAGTATGTGAAAGAGAGAATTTGCAACTTGCATTGTTTGCATGCATTTACACAGAGCTTTCATAAGACTTCAGGTAGTTCTTAACTTACAATCATTCATTCAGTGACTATTTGAAGTTACAATGACACTGAAAACAGTGACTTATGACCATTTTTCACACGACCGTTGCAGCATCCCCATGGTCACGTGATCAAAATTCAGATGCTTTGCAACTGGCATGTACTTGCGATAGTTGCAGTGTCCTGGGGTCATATGATCACCCTTCTGATAAGCAAAATCAACAGGGAAGCCAAATGTTAGTAACAAGCGTGTTACTAATTTAACAACTGCAGTGATTCTTGCCAACAACTGTGGCAAGAAAGGTAAAAAAAAAAATGCCCCAAAATTCACTTAACTGTCTTGCTTAGCAATGGAAATTTGGGGTTGTAAGTCGAGGACTACCTATTTTAGGCAAAGTGAAAGTAGTATCAAGCAACATCTGAATGTCCACTGTTGGGGAAAAAAGATTGAAAGGCTAATGGACAATCTGTCCGAATCAGCAATATCCTGCAAGTGTTGATCAAAGAGATTATTTTTCTTTTTCAGCTTTTCTTTTTTTAAATCACCTTCAGTTTCTTGACTCTCTGGTCTATGGCCTGAATACTGTTCACTGGTTGTGGTTCTTCCTCCTGCAACCCCTCCATTTCCTCTTCCATTTTATCAAGCCAAATATCAATGTTGGTAAGGTCAGCATTCAGCTGTTGCCACTGCTGCCACGTTTGCTTCATTCTCAGCTTGTTGCTTAGGTCTTGAACTTGAAGGAGTTCCCATCTTTCAATAGTTCCTGCAGTTTAATACAAAATTATTCAGGTTTTTTTTTTTTAAAAAAAAACAACAACTTTGGGTCAGATCAACATTATTTTGGGCACATGTTGGGGTTTTTTTGGTAATTGCATTATTTTCAAAACTCATTTGCAGTGCATAGTGGGTAAATTGAGATGAGATGGTGGCAGAATTGTTTGGTGGTGGGAGGGGGTCATACCCCTTCAGAACATTAGTGTGGTGTATCTTTTTGGTCCCCCCCCCCCAGAATTAATTTTTCCTACAAATAGAAAATGTTCAAAATAGCCCCACTGCTTTTTATACTTCAATTTCCAAATAGTGTATTTAGAGGAAGGACTAGTCTAAATTAGAAATGTATTATATTACCTCTGGAGTCTGCGAGCCTAATCGTCCTGTGAACATTAAGCCAGAAATAAAGGCAGATACATTCTTGGGACCAGAAGGACTATTTTATTTAATGTGCTCCTTCCCAACCACTTACTCAAGGTACTATCTTATCACATCTGGAGTAGAAGGAATAAGAACATATAAATAGACCTTTCTCCTTTGTAAATCTTAGATTTATGATTTTTTTGTCACTTGGGAAATCTATTTAGACTTTCTGTAATAATGTTTCAGCATAAATTGAACATCTGAAAGTTTTGGGAGGTCTTTTGATCTGATCAATGCTTGCTTTTTCCTGTCAAATTCCCTTGCTTTTTAAATCTTAATTTCAGTTTGTTCAACTCTTTGATCATCTTTCCGTTGTATATTAGAAATTCCGATTATTGTATTTTAAATTAATCATTGTAATAGTATCTATTCATATTACAGTTGCCTCTTTTCTGTTCCTTTTCTCCTTCTGTTGAGATTTAAAGAGCTTACATTTATGTTTTTATTTATTCCCCATTTTTCAGTTCTGAGAAATTTAACTTCAATGATGCTATTATTACATGGGAAAAAATACATCCTAAATAATTGTTACTTTTATATGTAAACAAATATATTTAAAAAATTAACAGGAACCATGGCTAACGTACCTGGCTGTTTCTCTATGCCTGAGACACTAATGAAGTTCTGGCTATTTTGAGAATCTTTACTAGGCAAGATCCTAGAAATGTCTTTTATGTCATCCACACTCCTAGTGCTCAGTGGTATCACCTGAAATACACAGAATAGAAAGTAAATAAGTCTTCTGGCAATATATCATATTCTTACACAATTATAGCACAGATTCACAGCCAACTATTCTTTATTGAGAAATGTATAAATGGAATATCATTTGATATTCCACTCCAAATTTTCTTGTCTTGAAAAAACTCCACTATTTTGTACATATATAGACAGTTAGCCTGTCTGTTACAAGCTAATTTAGCCCTGTTTTTTTCATAATATATAGGCACCCCAGACTTACATTGCCTGGTTTGTAGGATGTGCTGGAATCCTCATTGTTTGATAAGACACTTCTAACCATCTCTTCCTGGTTGTACGAATGCTTTCGACAAACTGGGTGTTCTGAAGGATGCCATATGTGAGTTTCAGCAGATTTCCCTGTTGTGCAACATGGTAAAAGAAAGCCACAGAAAATTAGATGTAATAGAAAAAATAATTAAAAATATTTACAGAGAAGGAAGGATGGCATGACAAAAAATGGATAATATTGCCATTTGTTTTGCAAAGCATGCTTGTTTGCAAACATGTTTCAGCAGTGTTTCATGGGCAGTGAAATGGCCATGCAGTTATGAGGATATTCTTTTCTGAAAATGCCCAAAGAAAATAGGAGTTCTTACCACCATCATAAAAGAAGAGATTGGGAAAGGTTGAAAAGCACTTCTGGACTTGATGCATGACCCCAGCAGTAAGCAGAATGAGGTAGCTTATTTCAGGAGGCAGCTTTGGGGATTGCATTATAGGTCAGCTAATGGTAATTATTTAGTGTATTATATATTTTTTTACCATTAGACTTTTAGAGAGTTGCCACTCAATTTTTCTGTCTGAAATATCAATACCTATTCAGCTTCTTGGGCTGAGAATGTGGTTGGTCAATAAAGATTTTAACATTTGTATCAGGTTCTGTTCATGAAAGCATGTGAACCTTACTTCTTCTAAAGGATAATAAGTGCTCAATTGTTTTGGGCTACAGATATAAAGAAGGATCCAGATTGCCCTGTCAGACCCTAAACTGAATGGCAAAGGGAGTTTTAAAGCAAAGCTAAGTTGCCCTACAGGTGAAAAGAACCAGCAAAATTGTCGATGCATGCCACAGTGTGAGGAACAAGCAAAGAAGGCCTTGATGCCTTTATGCTGGTATGGAGAACTAAAAATGCATAGTCTTAACTTTGGTAGAGACATGTGGGGATGATGTAGCATCAAATAAACAAAACAAAAAAGAGAATCCACCATGAGCCAATTGGTGCATGGTGGTGATACAAGCTAGGGAATCAGAAACCTGCATATGAGGAAGGTGTGAAGAGCACAGCGTGCGGCACAGGGAAACTGTCATGTTGAGACACATGCAGTAGCAGGTGCCTACCAGAAGCTGCTTTCAAAGCTTTTGTGGTCATTTTAAGATATGCCTCAGGATGTTCAGTGATTTCTACATCTGAAAAAAGAATAACGTCACCATTTGCTTTGCAAGAGTCTGTTCACTCTTCCCTTCCCACCATACAAGAATGTAGCATTACAGCAGCCCCAGATGGATCCTGTTAAATATCTATTAATTGAGCATTCTTTTTCCAAATAAAACTAGTGGTCAAAATGCCCTGAAGTAAAGTATAAAGGCAGCAACCATTTAGCTACATGCCCTTATAAAATTATCCACTGTTCGTTTCTTTTTGCTATTCTTTTAAAACTGTTAATTTTCCTAATAGTTCTAAAAAGAAAAGGCAAAAGAAGAAAAGGCCGAGATAGAGATAGATAGATAGATAGATAGATAGATAGATAGATAGATAGATAGATAGATAGATA